GTCATTCTGTGTAATCCTGGAGATCCTGAGAAAAGTGTTCAAGGGGGAATGAAGATGGAAGAGATGATGGTGAGAGGGGCCGGTTTGTTAGAGGGTCTTACTTGGGGCCTTGGGCCTTACCTGGAGGAATGTTTACACCTTGACCCAGCGGCCACAGACCAAACCTCCACATGTGGATCCCCGCCAGCCCCAGAGCCCTGCCCTTACTGAGTCATGACCCAGCTCTAGGCTAAATGCCCACCCATACCTCAGCCCAGCCCAGCACCAGCCCTGGGTACAGACCAGACCAGGCTCAGGCTGTACATGCAGGATCAGGATGAGGATGTGTATCCTTTCTGCCCTCAGACGCAGGCTGAGCCAGCTCTTTCTTTAGCCCCTCACCTATCTGATTGAAGCACTCCCAAATCTATCTTCTCACTTTCTTTTTCTGCCTTGTATTCTTGGATCCGTTTTTCCTCTTCTTTCTCTCACTGAAGCGCCCCCCCCACCTCTCTCTCTCTCTCTCTCTCTCTCTCTCTCTCTCTCTCTCATTGAAGCATAGGATAGGGTGGGGGGGGGCAGGGAAGTTGGCAGAGAGGTAAGATTCATCAATATTTAATTTTTATGGAAATCACGCCCTGGGAATCCCCAAGGGGCTGAAAATTGTTCTGTGTTTTCAGAATTCAGTGATGTTGCTGAAGCGGTGATGTTGTAAATAAAACCACATTACTGTCTGCAGCTCTCCCGTCGCTCTGCAAACACCCAGAAACTTGACAGTTTAATCCACTCAAGGAATCAAAAATGTTCGGGTCACTGCTGGGGGCAGCCCATTCTCCAGCCCTGGGATATAAGATTGTGAGGCATCAACATCATCCATGCTGTTACTGCTGGGGAGGGAGACAGAGCCAGCATGCCTTGAGTAGATTTACCATGCTGGTGATTTTTTTCCCTCTGAACAGGAATCCCAGGAAAGCAGAGCCCCCCTGCTCCCCAGACATTCTGATGTGGGAAGGATTTGCTCAGAGATAGTGGGATTTCTTTTCCCTCATGCCCGTGGTGCAGACAACCCAATGATATCCAGCAGAAAAATCAGACCCAAGTTAGTTTCCAGCAGCTTGTGGTGCAGTTGGGATTTGGAAAGGACATTTATTTGTTCATTCATTCATTCATTCATTCACTCATTCATTCATTCATTCATCAAACATTTATTGAGTATCTGCCCTATGCAAGGCACTTTTCTACATTCTGAGAAAACAACAAAGCACACAAAAAGCATGACAACCCTGCTTATGCTCTTGTGGACAGAGACACAACAAACCAGGTAAATAAGTAAAGTGTACAGTATGCTGTATGGTGATCTATGCCATGGAGAATAATGAAGTAGGAATCATAGGTGTTTGCCCATGTGAAATGCAAACATTCATGGACTAACAGGCTTGCACAAGAATGTTCAGAGAAGCATTATTCACAATAGCTACAAACTGGGGACAGCCCAGACGTCCATCCACAAGTGTGTTGGATGAATCAACACACCAGGCATCCATGGGCAAAATATTACACAGCAATGAAAAAGAGCGATCCACAGACACAGATAACAACATGGGTGGATTTGACAAACATTTTTCTGAATGATAGAAGCCAGGCACACAAAAATATGTGCTGGGTGATTCTAGTATAGATAAAACTAATCTGTGATGATAGAAATCTGAAAAGTGTTTGCTTTGGGGAGGGAAGGATGACTGGGAATGTGGAGAGGGGCCTTGGGTTTCATGGGTGTGCTGCACGTCTTGACTGAATGGTACACCTGAGATCAGAGCATGTCATCAGATAGGTTATTACACACAACTGGAAAGCATGGTAAGGGAATAATAGGATGTGTTGGTGATGGTGGGAGGAACTTGCAACTTGAAAAGGGGGTGGCCAGGGAAGGCCCCACAGAGAAGGCAACTTGAAGAAAGTGAAGGAGAGAGCTGTAAGGGTATCTAGGGGGAGGGCATTCACAGCAGCAAGAACAGCAAATGCAAAGGTACTAAGGTGGGATCATGAGTGGAGTAGTCAGGGAACAGCAAGGAAGCCACTGCATTCACCAGCTTGGCTACCATGACAGAGTAACCACAGACTGGGCAGTGTAAACAACAGACGTTTATTTCTCAGTCTGGAAGCTGAAAGTCTGAGATCAAGGCCTCAACTGGGTTTGTTTCTTCCAAGGCCTCTCCCCTTGGCGTGCAGACGGCAGCCTTCTTACTGTGACCTTGCGTGGTTGTCCCTTGGTCTGCGTGTTGGCTGTGTCTTAACCTCATCTTCTTGTAAGGACTCTTGCCCTGTTGGATTAGGGCCTGCTCTGATGGCCTCACTTCAACTTAATTATCTCTGTAATCCCAGCACTTTGGGAGGCTGAGGCGGATGAATCACCTGAGGTCAGGAGTTCGAGACCAGTTTGGCCAACATGGTGAAACCCTGTCTCTACTGAAAATACAAAAATTAGCCAGGCGTGGTGGTTTGTGCCTGTGGTTCCAGCTACTTGGGAGGCTAAGGCAGGAGAATTGCTTGAGCTAGGGAGGCAGAGGTTGCTGTGAGACCAGATCGTGCCACTGGACTCCAGCCTGGGAGACAGGTTAAGACTCTGTCTCAAAAAGAAAAGAAAAAAAAATACCCTACATCCAAATAAGGTCACATTCTAAGGCCCTGGGGTTAGGACTTCAGCATATGCATTTGGGGGACACAGTTCAGCCCATAGCAGCCAGCATGGACAGAGATACCTGAGTCATAGATTGCCATGTGCTGCGGACACCCAGGCTGCTTGTTTTTGCTGCTCCCTGTGATGAAGGTGTTGGTGTGGGATGAGGCTGGATGAGGGTTTTGTGATAGACAATGGATAAAGCTGTAGAGGCCAGAGGTGGCAGTTCTTAAAGTGGCTCTTCACGAATTCACATCACTGGGGAAACTTGCCTCTGGAAAAGCCAGCTGTGCTGTGATTGAGGGTCAGGTCCCAGCTCTCGCTTTCCATGGAAGAGTGGTGTAGGGGCCCGTGAGGATGGGTCTAGTTGGAGATAACAGTGAGGCTGGATGGCCTGTCATGCACTCACACACAGTATAGTGGCCTCCTCGGCTTAAAGAAGGATGAGGTGAGTAGGGAGAGGCTTTCCTGGGGGCTGCTTGGCACCTAGGAGAGTATGCGATCTGTGCTTCCTGACAGTCAGTCTGGGGCAACATCCAGCAGCATTTCCCCTGACTCCCTCCAAAGACACCCAACCTCCCGCCAATGCCCTGCGCGCTGTGTCATCTTCGCTTGCATGGGACACAGTCTGTTGTCTTTTATGAGTGCCCAAATCCTCAGCTTTACCTAGCCACGCTCAAAAAATGCTATTGATTTTCTTTTCCTTATTTATTTACAAGATTTTTTGCTGTGGGCAAAAAATAAAAAGGTTTGTGCAGCGTTTCCCCTAGCAGTGAGAAGTTTTCTCTGCCCTCTGCCTCCCTCCCTGGCACACACATTCACAGATTACTCTCACATTTCTCTTCACTCCTAAAGTCCTAGCATCTCCCGACTGTAGGATGCAGAGAGAGAAGAGATTAAAAGGGTTAGTGGGGCCGGGCGCGGTGGCTCACTCCTGTAATCACAGCACTCTGGGAGGCTGAGATGGGTGGATCATGAGATCAGGAGATCAAGACCAGCCTGGCTAACATGGTAAAACGCCATCTCGACTAAAAATACAAAAAACCAAGTGTGGTGGCATGTGCCTGTAGTCCCAGCTACTCAGGAGGCTGAGGCAGGAGAATCGCTTGAACCTGGGAGGCAGAGGTTGCAGTGAGCTGAGATTGTGCCACTGCACTCCAAACAGGGTAACAGAATGAGACTCTGTCTCAAAAAAAAAAATCGTGGGGGAGCTAGTGCCTGAGGCAGAGTGAGGACTCAGAAAATATATGTGGGAGAGGTGGGTGGGTGCATTTTTGAGAAGCCACAGCTGATGCCTAAAGGGTTAAGGAGGTCAAGAATGATCTCTTCCTCTGTGGAGATATTGTATGCCAGGCCCAGTAATAGGGCTCTTTGGACCCGTCTGATTTAGCCCTCACCATAAACATACAAGGTGGATTGTATTACTTTTTTTCAGTGATGAAATTCAAAAAAGGTAGGTACCTTGCTCAAGGGTACCTAGCAAGTAAGCTAGAATTCACTCTCAGGTCTTCAGGATGCCAGCTACCAGCTGTCTCCAATGCATGGTGCAGCCTCCCCACAGGAGAACAAGGACCCAGTCTCTTAAGAGACTACTGGAAGCTGAGTTGACCCACAGAGTGAGACTCCTCCTCTCTCCTACCTCTGGCAGGGCCCCCACCTCCATTTTCAAGAGGCCCCCTTGGGCTGAGGATCTTGGGAGGGAACAAAGTCCGCTCTTCTCCACCCCTTCCGTCTTTGGGAAGATGACTGTATGGGACTCTCTCCACCCTGCAGTGGGACATCTGGCATGCGAGTTGGTTTTGGTCTCTTTCCAGGGAGGTGGCTGGCCGAGGAGGGCCAGAGGGAATTCCAGTCGTCTCTCATGGGAATTCTGTTCATTAGTGGTGTGACATGTGGAGCCCCAGGGCTGCCCTGTGGCCGCTGATCTGTCTCGCTCTGTCCCATGCAGACCTCCATTCGTGTGGATGCCGCTGCCCAGAGTGCCTTTCCTATCCCTGGCACTCATGAAAATTGCCTTGGAATTTCAAAAGCATGGTTCTAGCCTCTGCCCCCTGCTTTCTGCCCGTCACTCACACCTCAGTCATATTGCTGCTCATACTGTTGGCCTGTCAAGTGACCACAAGTAGGGCTGTGCTTACAAGAACAAGGGTGATTTGAGCTACTTGAAGCTCATGTCTTGTTGAGCTTTGTCGCAACAAAGCATAGTGGTGGAAGGATGGTGGTCATCCCTGTGGGTTCTATGCAGCTGACAGCACATCATTCATGTGCATCCCATTCCTGAGGTCTGGGAAGCAAGACCCCCAAATTTACTCAATGTACTTCTCTTCTTATCTTTCCCTGGCAGGAGTTCCCCTTGGCCATTATCAGGGGCTTGGAATGCTACTGTGCTTACCCTACCCCCCAGTTCAACCTGCATGATGCCATGGACAGCTCACTGTGTGGCCGGGACCCTGAGGCACAGAGGCTGGCAGAATACTGTGAGGTCTACCAGACACCTGTGCAAGGTGAGTTCCGCATCCCCGACTGGTGGTGGCATTTGGTCTGGGAGTTGGGGAGAGCTTCCAGGGTTTGGAGATGCCAGTCATAGTGAAGCATGCAGTCATGAGGTATGGAAGGTGTCTGTGTAAAGGTCTTGGCATCTTGGTGGGTGGTATAATGTGGAGGGTCAGCCTTCCACCCTCAACAGAGGCTGAATCCTGTACTCACTTTAAAAAACACTGGACCGGCCAGGCGCCGTGACTCACACCTGTAATCCCAACACTTTGGGAGGCTGCGGCAGGTGGATCACGAGGTCAGGAGATCGGGACCATACTGGCTAACGTGGTGAAACCCCATCTCTACTAAAAACACACACACAAAAAAAAAATTAGTCAGGCATAGTGGTGGGCACCTGTAGTCCCAGCTACTCGGGAAGCTGTGACAGGAGAATTGCTTGAACCCAGGAGGCAGGGGTTGCAGTGAGCCGAGATCGCACCACTACACTCCAGCCTGGCCAGCAGAGCGAGACTCCATATCAAACGAACAAGCAAACAAACAAAACATTGGACCCTTTATCTAAGTCTCTCTGGGGATGACAGTGGTAAGAAGATGAGCAGAGAGAGGCAGATCTCAGACAGATAGCAACAGAAAGGTGGTAGGATTGGGAGGCATGGGAAGAATAGGATCCCCGGAGCTGCAGGGGCCACCAGTGCCTCCAGGACCTGGGAATCCTCCTTGGTGTGAGCATCAGGTCTGCCCATGTTGACTTTAGGAACTGATGAAGGGAAGAGCAGGTGAAGAGGGATCCTACCACTTTTATCAAGTGCCTACTGTGACCCAGCACAGCCCTGGAGGTTTTGGGGCTTCCCCCTGGTGATTTCATGTGCTCCTTATAGCAGCCCTGGGGATGAGGCACAAAGAATTACTTGCCTGTCATTAGTCTGGCTCTGGTTTATTGTTGGCAGTACCTGGGTGTGTTACTTTACTCAGCCTAGCCTCAATCCCCACCCACTTCCCCTGGTAGAATCTGGAATTATCTGTGCTGTGTCAGGAGCAAGAGTTTGGCCATGGAGACAGAATTAGAGTTGAGGGTCCATAAGGTATCTGATTCCCATCCCACTCCTGCACTGCTGTCTTGGAGGCCTCATCACAGGGCTTTCTCTGACTAGCCACAGACCTGTGCAGCTAAGGTAGAGTTGAAAGATCTCTTCCATGCTTTGGGCCTTGGTTTTACCATCTGTTAAATGGGAGTCTTGGATCATCAGTCCCTCTAAGGGAGTTTAATGGTGAACTGGTGAGTCATAATGGTAATGAGTAACCCCGTGATGACTTTTGGACTTTCAGACACTCGGTGTACAGACAGGAGGTTCCTGCCTAACAAATCCAAAGTGTTTGTGGCTTTGTCAAGCTTCCCAGGAGCTGGGAACACATGGGCACGACACCTTATTGAGCACGCCACTGGCTTCTATACTGGGAGCTACTACTTTGATGGAATCCTCTACAACAAAGGTAAGTCAGAGCTACAGGGGAGGATGGAAGGCAGCTCCCAGTGGCCAAACTGTCGCCTTGCCAGCCAAGCTTCTCAGAGCACTAGAGCCATGCATCTCAAACTTGAATGTACATAAGAATCAACTGTAGGTGGAGCCACTGTGTGTCACACTCACCCTTCAGGGACTGAAGACCAGCCTGCCTGGTGGTCCCCATCCACAGCAAAGTTACACCATTGTATCCACAAATACCTACAATCTAGGCCACTGAGGCACTTACAGACATCACTGATATTGATTACAGCCAAAGAAATGACGCTGAGACTATACTACTGCTCCCACCCAGAACCAAAACCTACCCAGCCCATACTATAGGATACATCTACTGGAAAAAGTATTTTCTTATGAAAGCTACTCCACAAAATTGGAAGAGGTGACTGTTCTACCAGATGTACAGTTATCAATGCAGGCACACAAACATGAAAGAGCAAGGAAGCATGCCATCTCCAAGAGAACACAATTATTCTCCAGTAACAGACCCCAAAGAAAAGGAAATGTGTGAAATACCTGAAAAGTAATTTAAAATAATGATTTTAAGGAAACTCAGTATGATACAAGAGAATACAAATAGACAATTCAATGAAATTAGGAAAACATTTTATGATCTGAATGAGAAGTTTGATAGAATTAGATATCATAAAAACAACCAAACTAATATGTTAGCTGAATAATTAAAATCGATTTTTAATGAATGAAATTAATGATCTAGTCTATTACCAAAGCTCTCAATTGTGTTTTTAATTTCATACCAAGACCTATGAGATACAGCAAAAGAAGCTCTAAGAGGGGATTTTATAGCAACAAATGCCTATATCAAAATAGCAGAAAGATTTCAAATAAGTAACCTAATGATGTACGTCAAGGAACAAGAAAAGCAAGAACAAGCCAAACCCAAAAGTAGTAGAGGGAAAGACATGATGAAGATCAGAGCAGAAATAAATGATAAAATTCAGAATCCCTTTATGACAAAACAATCAACAAATTAGGTATAGAGGTAATGTCCCTCAACACAATGAAGGCCACATGTGACAAACCCACAGCTAGTATTATACTAAATGAAGAAAGGATTGAAACCCTTCTGTCTAAGAACTGAAGCAAGACAAGGATGCCCACTCTCTCCATGTCTGTTCAACCTAGTAACAGAAGCCCTATTCAGCAATGAGGCAAGAAAAAGAAACAAAGGGCATCCAAATTGGAAAGGAGGAAGTCAACTTGTTTCTGTTTGCAGATCGCATGATCTTACATAATAGAAATGCCTGAAGGTATCACCAAGAAACCCTTAGAACTGATAAATGAATTCAATAAAGTTACAGGATACAAAGTCAACATGCAAAAATTAGTGGCATTTCCATATACCAATACTGAACTACCTGAAAAACCAAGAAAGCAATATCATTTATAATAGCAGTGAAAAAATACCTAGGAATAAATTTAATAAAAGATGAAAGACTTCTGCAAAGAAAACTATAAAACACTTATGAAATTGAAGAGGACACACAAAAAATAGAAAGATACCCCATATTTATGGGAAAATGACCATACTACCAAAAGCAATCTACAGATCCAATACAATCCCCATCAAAATATCAATGACATTCTTAGCAGAACCAGAAAAAAAATTTTCCTAAAATTTATGTGGAGCCACAAAAGACCCTGAATAGCCAAGGCAATTCTGAGCAAAAAGAACAAAGCAGGAGGCATCATACTACTGACTTCAAAATATGTTACAAAGCTTTAGTAACAAAAAGCAGCATGGTACTGCTATAAAAACAGACACATAGACCAATAGAACAAAATGGAAAACCCAGAAATAAATCCATGCATTTACAGCCAAGTCATTTTTGACAAAGATGCCAAGAACATACACTTGGGAAAGGACAAGCTCTTCAATAAATGGTGTTGGGAAGACTGGATAACCATATGCAGAAGATTGAAGCTATATCCCTGTCTCTCTTTTTATACAAAAATCAACTCAAAATAGGGCTGGGCATGATGGCTCACACCTGTTATCCCAGCACTTTGGGAGGCCGAGGCAGGTGGATCATAAGGTCAGAAGTTAGAGACCAGCCTGGCCAACTTGGTGAAACCTCATCTCTACTAAAATACAAAAATTAGCTGGGCATTGTGGAAGGTGCCTGTAATCCCAACTATTCAGAAGGATGAGGCAAGAGAATCAACTGGGAACCAGAGGTTGCAGTGAGCCGAGATTGCACCATTGCACTCCAGCCTGGACAACGTGAGACTCCGTATCAAAACAAAAGTCAACTCAAACTGAAGACTTAAATGTAAGGCCCAAATCTATGAAACTACTAGAAGAGAACAGAAGAAATGTTTCACGACATTGGTCTGGGCAAAGATTTTTTTTTGCTTTTGATATAGGACCTCAAAAGCACGGACCACAAAAGCAAAAATAGATGGGATTATGTCAAACTTCTGCACAACAAAGGAAACAATCAGCAAAGTGAAGAGACAGCCTGCAGAATGGGAGAAAATATTGGCAAACTATTCATCCAACAAGGAAGGGATTTATTTATTTATTTATCTATTTGTTTGTTTATTTATTTAATAATAATTAAATAAATAAACTCCTTCTGTTGCCAGGCTGGAGTGCAGTGGCGCAATCTTGGCTCACTGCAACTTCTGCCTCCTGGGTTCAAGTGATTTTCCTGCCTCAGCCTTCTGAGTAGCTGGGATTACAGGTGCCCGCCACCACACCCAACTAATTTTTTGTATTTTTAGTAGAGACGGTGTTTCACCATGCTGGCCAGGATTGTCTCGATCTCTTGACCTCATGATCCACCTGCCTCAGCTTCCCAAAGTCTTGGGATTACAGGCATGAGCCACCGCCCAGATTAATAACAAGAATTTATAAGGAACTCAACAACAAAAAGCCAAAATAATCTGATTTAAAAATTGACAGGTGATATGAATAGACATTTATCAAAAGAAGACATACAAATGGTCAAGTATATGAAGAAATGCTCAATATCACTAATTATCAGGAAAATGCAAATCAAAACCACAGTGAGATATCATCTCACCCCAGTTAGAATGGCTACTATGAAAAAGACAAAAAATAACAAGTGCTGGCTTGGATGTGAAGAAAACGGAATTCTTTTTTTTTTTTTTTTGAGATGGAGTCACACCCTGTCATTCAGGCTGGAGTGCAGCGGTGGGATCTGGGCTCACTGCAACCTCCACCTCATGGGTTCCAGATATTCTCCTGCCTCAGCCTCCCAAGTAGCTGGGATTACAGGCATGCGCCATCACGCCTGGTTAATTTTTTGTATATTTAGTAGAGACAAGGTTTCACCATGTTGGCCAGGCTGGTCTGGAACTCCTGACCTCGTGATCCACCTGCCTTGGCCTCCTAAAGTGCTGGGATTACAGGCGTGAGCCACTACACCCAGCTGAAAAGGGAACTCTTATACACTGTTGGTGGGAGTGTAAACTAGTACAGCTGTTAGGGAAAACAGTATGGAGGCTCCTCAAAAAAAAAAAAATTACCATAAGATGCAGCAATCCCACTGCTGGGTATATACTCAAGGCAAAAGAAATGAGTATGTTGAAGAGATATCTGTACTCTCATGATTATTGCAGCACCATTCACAATAACCAAGATATGGAATCAACTTTAGTGCCCATCAATAGGTGAATTTTTAAAATGTGTTACATATACACAAGGGCTAGTTAGCCATAAAAAAAGAATTAAATGCTGTAATTCACAGCAACATGATGTGAGCCTAAGGGACATTATGTTAAGTGAAATAAGCCAAGCACGGAAAGATAAATACCACATGTTCTTATTCATATGTCAAAGCTTAAAACATTGGTCTCACAGATGTAGAGAGTAGAATAGTGATCACTAGAGGCTGGGAAAGGTAGGAGGGAGGGCAGGATAGGGAGAGGTTGGTTAATGGAGACAAAATTACAGCTAGATATGAGGAATAAGTTATAGTTTGTTATAGCATTATAGGGTGACTGCAGTTGACAATAATTTATCGTATGTTTTCAAGTACGAGAGGATTTTAAATGTTTCCAGCACAAAGGCATGATAAATGCTTGAGGTGATGGATATTCCAATTACTTTGATTTTATTATTAAACATTGTATACATGCATTGAAATATCACATTGGACCCATAAAGAAGATGTACATTCATCATGTCAGTTTAAAATAATAGTAAAAATATTTATTTTTATCTTATTTTACTTTAAGTTCTGGTATACAGTGTGCTGAATGTGCAGGTTTGTTACATAGGTATGCATGTGCCATGGTGGTTTGCTGCACCTATCAACCCATCACCTAGGTTTTAAGTCCTACATACATAAGGTGTTCATCCTAATGCTCTCCCTCTCCTTGCCCCTCACCTCCCAACAGTCCCTGGTGTGTTATGTTCCCCTCACTGTGTCCGTGTGTTCTCATTGTTCAACTCCCGCTTATGAGTGAGAACATGTGGTGTTTGGTTTTCTGTTCCTGGGTTAGTTTGCTGAGAATGATGGCTTCCAGCTTCATCCATGTCCCTGCAAAGGACATGAACTCATTCTTTTCTAATAAACATATTTTTAAGCAAAAAAAGAGAATCACCTGGAGGTCTTTTTAAAACTTGGGTTCCTGGCCCACACCCCTGACAGTCTGATTTAGGTGGTCTGAGGTGGGGCCTGGGAATTTTCATTTCTAACAAGCTCCCACATGATCCTGATGAAAACAGCCCTAAGGACCCCACTTAGAGTGGAATTTCATGAGATCGTGACTATTCTGGTTTCAAAGGGAAAGACTAGTAGCTTGAATTTTTTCTCTATAAACATTTCTTGAAGTTTCCTTAATTTTTAGAACCCTCAATAATTAGGGGTGAAACTGATTTAATCTGCTCATTCCTTTCTTGAGGCAAGAAATAGTTCATCAAAATATAATAAAAAATATCCAAAAATTTTTTAAGAGTTTTGATTTATAATCTTTCCCTTGTAGAAATAAGGGAAATTAAGTTAAATGGCTGAAGTCTGTGTTTTAAGAATGAAAAACCTCAGACAAGTCCAGCGGCATCAAATTTGGCAAAATGTATTTCTCTGTTGTCAAGCGTTGCAACATTTTCTCTGGATTTCTTTTTCTTTCTTTCTTTCTTTCTTTCTGTTTTTTTTTTTTTTTTTTTTAAAGATAGAGTCTCACTCTGTCACCCAGGCTGGAGTGCAGTGGCATGATCTCGGCTCACTGCAACCACCACCTCTTGGGTTCAAGTGATTCTCCTGCCTCAGCCTCCCCAGTAGCTGCGATTACAGGCACTCACCACCACACCCAGCTAATTTTTGTATTTTAGTAGAGGTGGGATTTCACCATGTTGGCCAGGCTGGTCTTGAACTCCTGACCTCAAGTGATCCACCCATCTCACACTCCCAGAGTGCTGGGATTACAGGTATGAGCTACTGTGCCGGGCCCATTTTCTCTGGATTTCTTGACCAGAGTTTGCTTTAGGAAAGTTGATAGTGTCAGTAACATCCTCGAGAAACAGAAACTTATTGAGCTTGGCATTGGGTTCTGGAATCACTCATAACAATCTTGGTCTGGGAAAAACTTAAGGTTGTCCATGTAACCCAGCCTCATCCTCCCTGGGAGCTTTGAGCGTTATGGGCATCTTCAGGTGAGGGAGGAAGTGGCCACATGAGCACATGGCCCTGTCTACTCTGGCTTAGTCCCCTGGGAATCGCCCACTGAGCCCAGGCTGCAGTTACCCACCTTGTTCATCTCCAAGGCTCTTACCTTATTCAAGCAGCTGGTTGTTTTGGTCTACATATGGTTAAGTAGCCCAATGACTGGAATTGCCAACTATACAGGTCGAGTTGACACTGCCTCAGAAATGCTTTAGAGATACCTCACGCACATCTTTGAGCCTTACAGGACCATTGGATATAGCCAGTGGCCCCAGGGCACTGACAGAGTGATCTCTCTCTCTCTCTCTCTCACACACACACACACACACACACACATTCACAAGGTATCTCCAATGCCCAACCACCAAGTCTATTGTGGTAGGTCAAATGTGGTCCGAGCTGCAAGGCAGAATAGCTGATGTTGGAAGAGGCCAAGGCAGTATGGGAGGCACGCTCAGTCTCCGTGTTGTTAAAGACTAGATCTCAAGTTTATTCATTCCAGTTTGACTCTTCCTTTCATAGCATTTTCCAGCTGTTTGATAGAATGAATCAAAGCGAGGCCTTTTGGTGTTTGGCTCATGGCAGAGATGAGTTTGAAGCTTGTTGAGTTTCAATGGATAAACCAGGACATCCAGATTCAAAAGAGACTTGCATTTTCCAAGCATCAAAGAATCCCTCAGTGCTAACTGCAGACACAAATACTTTCCAGCCATTCCTGCAGAGGGGCTGGTGGGGGGACTCACTTTGTTTCCAAGAGCCCAAGGTAAGCACAGGAGCACTTATGGAATATGCCTCAGAGCTAGGTACATGGGCTATGTTGGGTGTGGTCAGGAGACTAGGTTCAGCAGACCTCTTCCCAGGAAGCCTTCTAGGACATCTCATTATTTGGAACCCCTGCTGTTTGTTTCCATAAGCCTCTATACCCTGTACTTAGGCTGTTTCCTCTACTAGAACATAAGCTTAAAGACAAGGTCTGAGTCGGAACCTTTTGTCCCCAACATAAAGTCTAACACAGTGAGCACACAGTAACCTTCAATGATAAATGTGTGACTCTGGATGGATGTGCAGAGTCTGGCCTTCTCAGCCAGTAGTCATTCAGGTTCTGAGTGACCAGTACCAAAGCAAGGGACCAAGGAAAGAGAGGGCCCCAGATAGGCTCATCAATGGGAACAAGTCTCCATTCATAGACACTGGGCCCTGGGTCCTCAGGGCCAGGCTCAAACTCTGCAGTTGAGGCCTTGACCAGACCTGCTCTGGGGCAAGGCTGGGCCCTGTTGTAAGACCATGGCGTCAGGTCAGAAGGTGGATCTACACCTGCTCACAGCCAATGCACCTGAAAGTCAGGATCCTGCCCCTACTGTGGGGAGGTAGAAGGAAGCTGGGGGCCTCACAGGGACACACAAAGGCATGTGGAGAAAGCCCTGGTGCTGTTTCTGTGGCGCTGTGTGATCTTGGGCAAGTCCCGCACTCACTCTGTGCCTCAGTCTCTTCCTTCAGCTATGTTTGCAGCTGTGGTTAAATCAAAGGGTTTTTGTGATGCTTGTGTAAAATTATCTCTATGAAAATGCCCAAAACATATGCATGCATATGCAATGGCAGGTCCTCTGCCTCCTGACTCCTGGGGGTCTTCAGGGGATGCCTCATCTCATTTCTCTTGCAGATGCCATCTTTCCCCACTGTTAGACGGCTGTTAGACAACTCCTGGAGTCCCTTTCCCTTGGACAGGGTCACTCCTGTGGAAGCCGTTCCTGTCGCCATCCATAGGTCCTCTCAGTGCCCTCTGCTGTGCCTTCCATGGGGCCCCTCTGATGCCCCTGATGCCAGCTTTCCCCCAACCTGTCTGCCGCTGTGGTAGGGGGCCCCATGGACACCATCCTCCACAGACCCTCTCATTTTTCCCTGCAGGGTTCAAGGGGGAAAAGGATCACTGGCGGAGCCGACGCACCATCTGTGTCAAAACCCACGAGAGTGGCCGGAGGGAGATTGAGATGTTTGATTCAGCCATCCTGCTGATCCGGAACCCATACCGGTCCCTTGTGGCTGAATTCAACAGGAAATGTGCCGGACACCTGGGGTATGCTGCTGACCGCAACTGGAAGAGCAAAGGTAATCAGGGACCTTGCAGTGGGGGTTGGGGGCTTGTCAGTACAGGCAGGATGCCCATAGGGATGCAGGATCAGTAGACACAGGTAGGCACTCAAACCCCATCCTGCTATGGACTTACTATTGCTGTGCCTGGGCTTGAGCCTACCTCCTCTCCTTGCCCTCCATGCCTGCTGAGGTCCACATGTTGATATATTTTACTTAGATACTAGCTTGATTCCCAAGAATCTTCTCTGTCTCCATGAGTGTGTAGTAGGGAAATACACACCCCTTTCCATCTCTGCTTCTGCCCAGGAGCTCATGCAGGGCTGGGACAAGAGCATATGGACCTGCTTTGCACACTCCTCTGTGTTCAGTACCAGGTTCCTCCTTTATAAAATGAGACCTGTGCCTCATGAGGAGCTCATGCAGGGCTGGGAGAAGAGCACATGGGCTGCACATGTGCCTGCTTTGCACCCTCCTCTGTCTTCGGCACCAGATTCCTCCTTTATAGAATGAGACTTGAGACATGCACCTCATGGGGCATCCAGGGAGCAGTGAGATGATGTGCCTGCCCTGTCTCTGCTCAGACCTCAGCAGGTTAATTCCCTCCTAAGCTGCCTCTCACTGACTCTTCAGTGTCTGATGGGGGAATCACATCAGCCCTACTTTCCAGATGAGCCCAGAGAACATGGTTGGGGTCTTGGCCTTGATGGTGGGCAGCAGAGCTGGAACTCACACTCAGTATTTTAGTCAGCTGGGGCTGCAATAACAAAATACCACAAAACTGGGGGTTGGGGCAAGGGAGTGGTACCAAAGCCACAGACATTTATTTCTCATGGCTTAGAGGCTGGGAAGTCCAAGATGAAAGTGCTGGCTAATTCCATTCCTGGGAAGGGACTGTTTCCAGGCTTGGAGACAGCTGCCTTCTCACTCTGTCCTCACGTGTCCCCAAAAGCTATCTGGTGTCTCTTCTGATAAAGGCGCTAATTCCACCACAAGGGCTTCACCCTCATGACAGCATCTGACTCTCATTACCTCCCAAAGGCCCTATCTCTAATAGCATCATATGGTGGGTCAGGACTCTCTGTGAATTTGAGGGGCATACAAGCATCTGGGTTCCAACGTCGGGAGTGTCTGATTCTGGGTCACATTGGCCTGTTCCCCACTGCAGCATTATTCATGGAGTCGATCCTCTGATCCACACTTGCTGAAGTTCTACTGGGTGTCAGGCATGGGGGGATGTACCAGGAGCCCAGGCTAATGGGGTCATGGTCTCTGCCCTTGACTCATGGACAGCTGAGTGTTTGGGTGGTGATGAATAGAGTCTGAGTGGTAAATGATGTGAAATGAAGTCAGAAACAAAGCAGTGTCCAGGCAGAGTCGGGTGAGAGAAGTCACGTGGGGCCCACGGCCAGGCAGGCTTGTGCTCCTGCTGCTTGTTACTGGATCAGCCAGTGGGTGGCCTGTAGTCTTCCCCTTCCCCCATCATCCTCTACCTGGACAGCCCCCCACAGTCAGGCAGGCTGATCTCTGATGCCTCCTCTGCCTCCTATGAGCCGTATAACTCTGGGAAAGATACTTGCCTTGTGTTCTGAGCCTCAGTTTTCTCATCATAATAAAACAAGGATAGGCCCTGTGAAGATTAGAGAAAGCAAATGCTTCACACGGCATTTGAGGTGTGTTAATAGCCCATTTATGGAAACTTTATTGGGATGACTTCTGATGTTTGTACCCTGCACCCCCCTCCAAATAAATTAATTTCTTAATTTTCTGGGAAAGAAAGCATATAAAGTAGATTATCTGCAAAAGTCCGAGGCCAACCCCGTCTGTGGTTTCACCGTATGTCCTACTGCCCAGCAGTTTCACAGGTTCAAACTGGCAACCAAACCACAGTACACATATGCACCCATCAGGCACCACATTGACTTAGCTTTACAGGAGGACCTGGGATGGCAAGTGGAGCCTGCACAGCATCTTCATCTCACCAGGACGCCCAGAGCTGCCACCACCCACCACACATACTGCTCGGCCACCAAAGGGTCCTCCTCCATGGGGAATGCCAGGTTGACCCCCTAGGCAGTGGGCAGTGGAAAACCCTGCCCACTTCCCCCTCCTGAGCAGCCCCTCGGGACCAGCAGCCCTGGCAGGGCCAGCCCCTGACTCTGCATCTCCTCTGTCCTCACCCTAGAGTGGCCGGAGTTTGTCAACAGCTACGCCTCATGGTGGTCCTCACATGTCCTAGACTGGCTCAAGTACGGGAAGCGGCTGCTGGTGGTGCACTACGAGGAGCTGCGGCGCAGCCTGGTGCCCACGCTGCGGGAGATGGTGGCCTTCCTCAATGTGTCTGTGAGCGAGGAGCGGCTGCTCTGCGTGGAGAACAACAAGGAGGGCAGCTTCCGGCGGCGCGGCCGGCACTCCCACGACCCTGAGCCCTTCACTCCGGAGATGAAGGATTTGATCAACGGCTACATCCGGACGGTGGACCAGGCCCTGCGTGACCACAACTGGACTGGGCTCCCCAGGGAGTATGTGCCCAGATGATAGGCCCAGCCCACGTCGCTGCCCCTGCTGAGTGATGCAATCTCACCATGGGGCTGCGCAGCCCACACCGATGCCCCAGCCCGTGGCCTTGCCGGGACGAACGGTTGGTGGGGGACCCACCCTGGTGCTGCCTCCTGCACAAGGAGACCTGGACACAACAGACACACATCACAAGGCGAACACAAATGGACACACACCCCTGGCCACACACCCACTCCTCCTCAGACACACTCAAACACCACTCCATGCTCACAGCCCCATCTTGACGTAGCAAAGCCACGCACGTGGGGTGTACCAGGCACTCCCAGATGCAAACTCAGCCATGCACAGACACCACGCACAGGTGCCAGGCTGTGTGCTCCTGGAGCCTGGCTGGTTGTCTCTCTCTCACATAGTTACACGTGCACTCCCTGGGATCTAAGAGGGCCTGGGTTTCCTGTGTCTAGCCTTGGAATAGACTTGCTCGTCAGGGTGTTTGATTCCAGGATGCTGGGCCGGGTGGGCATTTATGCTCTGAGCAGCGAGGACCGTTGGAATGGAGGTGGGCACAAAGACTGCTGCTGCTGGGCTGTGCGGCCCTGGCCTTGTGTCTGACATCCCATAAATGTGTGTGTGGTGTGACCAGGCATCACAAACTCTGCAGCCTTGCCTCTCTTTTCTCTGTGGCTGGGCTGGCAGCACCATGGGCAGAGTTGAGAACTGCCCCCACCCCTCCCAAGCCAATACAGACACTGACCTCAGGACCAGCCACATTAAGTCTGTGCACTGCCCACTACCCCCTTCAACCCACCCTACATCAATACTCCGGGGCATGGGTCTCCTGTCCCTGGCTTCTTCCTCCAGCTATGCCCAGGGAAGCTGGAGATTCAAGTCATGCCCCAGAAGCAAGGTGTAAGAGTGAGGACATGAGGAAGAGGGCAGGAGCTGAAGTTCCTGGGGAACCCCGGACCTCTGGGGACCTGTACACCAGCAGGATGGGTCTTGGGGGTTGGCATGGGGAGATTGTAAGGGCTATGTCCTGGGGATCACTGGGACTGGTACCCCACCCATAGGTGGGGCCCTGCTGTCTCTGGGGTCCCACACGGCGTCATGAGAGCTAGTTAGTACTCAGCCTGACCTCTAGGTCAGGCCCTGCCAGCCTGGGATGGGGGTCAATGTATGCTAAGCATCCTAGGCTGTAGAGGCCAGGAGGTTCAAGAATGGAGGGTAAGGGTGCAACCCGGGAGCAGTGCTCAAGGTGGCTAAGATGCAGGGAGGATTGTGGAGATCTGGTTGCACGTTAGCCCCCGCGAAGGTGGGGAAGGTGGGTGGGCCTGGACTCAGGCAACCTCTCAGTGGCTTCTCCAGGCCTAGGGTAACCCTGGCCAGGCCCCATGGTCCTGCCCTGGGCCAGCTGTCAGGAAGACTGCCCCGTTAGCCTGAGCTGAGCTGCATTGGGAGGATAAGGCAGGATGAGGGATTTGGGAGAGCTGGACATTGAGATGTCCTGACCCTCTGCTCCCTAGCCAGATGTTGGGGAACCCAGAGCCCCCTTGTGAGCACAGGTAAGGGGCGGAGGGCCCAGTAGAGCTGCCCTTTCTCAGATAGAAGCTTCCTCCACGTCAGTCTGGCCAGGGGGTAGGTTTAGGCATCTGTGCCCCTGGTGGCCTCCAAGTCCTTCCTGGGATTCCCCCAAACCCACACCAATGTGAAGACCCTCCCACAGCATCAACTCAGTTCGGCTCAAAACTGGAAACACCAAGGTCTTTGATCATGTGCATTGCTCAAGATAGCTTCAGCATCCAATCTGTGAAGGCCCCTAATGGGGCTATTTCTCCCTAGTATTAGGGGACTTGAGACCCCTTCGAAGTTTCCACACTGCCTTGGAAGGGGAAGTCAGGGCAGGCCTGCATCCCAGAGCAAACCTAGATCCTCAAAAGAGATGGGAGGTGTGGAGCGGGCCAGTGGAGAATGGAGAAGCTGGCCTACTCCCGCTCTGGCCCTCACTCTCCCAGGCCATTTAGATGATCCTTAGGGGAGAACACTCAGAAGCCATGGAGGCTGGGAAGGGCAAAGTGTGAGAGAGGACTGACCGGGACTGGAGCTGGGGTCTGGCCAGAGCAACAGCAGCAGGCTTTTCCTGGTCGTTGGGTTGGTACATTCACTGCTGCCAGGTGCCCAGAGATGTCATCTCCCTCCAGGTAGAGTGTCACCTGCTCCTGTGGCCTTGTAGATGATTCTGCACCTTAGTGAAGAGTGCAGGCAAGTAGAATGATGGGGTCAGGGTCCATCCAGTTTATGTTGAGTAACTCCATATGGCAAGGCACCTGGTGCTTGGTGGGTGATCTCGGATGTAGGATGAGCAAGGAAGAGCAAAGGCCGTGTCAGCTGCTGGTGGTCCTCACAGCCTTCATCCCAAGTCTGCCTATGTAGGAGATCTCAACAGAAACAGGAACAGGGATTTGTCTGTGCTTGCAGGAAAGTCCATTTGTTTTTGTCCAAGTTAGGTCTAATCTACAGCTCTTAGCTTCTCAGTAGAGGACATTCTCCCAACCAGCCAAGGAATAAAAACTCAACTCTAGGTAGGGCAGAAGTGTGGCAAATGCATCAGGAACCAGTTAAAACAAAACAGTGAAACCCTGACTGTCTACAGATTCCAACTTTAATGGCAAGGCTGCAGAGTTACACAAACCTGTGTTAAAACATGTAATTTTAATGGATTTCATCTCCCGTTGTGGATCAATTTGGAAAAACCAAAATATGTAATTTTAAAAAACTAAAACACATTCTGATAACCCAAGTGATGTGTAAATGAGGGAGAAGAATAGACAGGCTTCCAAACCCTAGGAAGGAAGCTGCTTAATTATGTGAACATCTTATGATGAAGTCTCTTGCAGCTAAAATTAGATTTTGAGTGCATGAATATGTGATAATGTTTGCATATCAGAATGCATTTTTTCCCCTTAAAAATAGCAATAGCCACTTGGTTCTTAGGGGGCCCCAAGAGAAGAGGAGAAGTGCTGAGGTTGATCTTGTGGCTGCAATAATTCTTGGGACACAGGTTTGTTTTCTGCTGACTTGTTTAGAAACTCATTGGAGGTATCTGAAATGTGATGACTCCAAAGGGGTTCATCTCACTTTAGGGCGAAATTGATTGGTCTGACATCCTATTTATCACCACTCAATACTGGGTGAGTTGGTCTGAACAAGGTGAGGGTAAAGTGGAGTGGAAATAATGTAGAGTCATCAGACTGAAGGGCCGGGTTGTGGTCCCAGCTCTAATCTGCCATCTTGGACAAGGCTTTTCCCATCTCCAATCTCAGTTTCCGATCCATAAAATGGGGGAAGTGGTAGGTCCTACTGGTTGCATCCACATTCATTCCCCCATTTCCATTCTCAGCAGCCCCCTATTTCTTTTTGGGGAATCACATGACCTGCTAGAGCCTCTCCAGGTGTAGAATACATGTCCTGGTCTAGCCAATGACACCTTCCATCTTTCCAGCTATGGTGACTGGGTTAGGTATGATGATCTTGTGAGTTAAGGCAATGCAGCCAGAGGGAATTTCAAAACTTTTGGGAATGCTGGGTAGAGGCTCTTTTAATTCCCTTGTTGAATGTGAAAAAGGTAGTAGTATTCCTGGGTCTTGATGGTGACCACCTTGGGCCTTGGGGTCATGACCAAGAATCACCCAGCAGGAAGCTGACACCACTGAAGGGAGAGTCAAGAGGCAGGAAGAAATCAAGTCCTTGGTGAAATTGTTAAGCAGGGGATCAAGCCTTGCTTGAGATTGGCCTTACCACTGGACTTTTTTTGTTACATGAGCTAATAAATTCTGTTTATTGTTTAAGTTGGGTCGAGTTTAATTTCTGTTACTTGTAACTCAGAACATGGTGCAAATGGGTTGGATTGAAAAGCCCCGGGTCTCTGACATTCTCTGTCTCTGTGGCTGATGTAGATAAAGCCTGAAACTCAGCCCAGCCTGAGCTTGTGGGATTGGGAGGTAACTTTTCACAGGAATGGAGCTGAGTGCAAAATGCTCAGTAAAAACCTGTGCTTAGTCAGCCAAGACAAGTCGCATTTTTAAGTTGGTACATCGTGAGGTTACCCATATAGCCATAGAAAATAAATCCTAAGGTGCCCAGCCCAGACCATGAGTTGTCTCATTTAATGCTTAATCCTTTGGTGTGGTTATTATTTATTATCTCCGCTTGAAAAATGAAAGGACTGGAATTCCAATTTGTAAAGATTGTAAAAGTATGGCCCTTTTGTAGTTACTGTAATTTCTTTCATGGAGTATATGATGTGGTACTGGAAGGAATTGTTTGATAAATTACTTGGATTGAGGATGAGACTTTAGCCCCTTCAAGGGACATGCTTGAATAACAGCTTATAGACAGTAAACTCTCTTCTAGGGAGAGTAGGTGTGGTTAACCATATAGCTTTGATTTTGCAAAGTGGGAAATCCAAGCTTGGGGCAGAGCTGAATTGCTGCTGTTGGAGGAGAGGTAAATAATGCCATTGTGAGTTCTCCCCTCTGTCTTTCCCTCTTCAGCCCTACTGTGCCAGAAATTGGAGGAACAGAGGGAGTTATATGTGGCTTCCCATCTTCAAACTCTCCTTGGAATGTCTATTATACAGCATTCCAGGATGAAAATCTATACAATATGTAGAAAAACGCCAGGATCCCAGGAAATTTATGTGAGTATATTTGTCCACAGTGCTCCATTTTGTGACTGAAGATAGATTTTGGCCCCTCCTGAGAACTTGACCCAAATGTGCAGACACATTGCAGACATCCAGGTCCCTGCCATGGGAAGTATGAGCAGATCCAGCTTTAATGATAGGCAATATAAAATGAGGAATCTTGATGTCAAAAATGAAAATAATCCTAGTTGATGTTATAAGCATAACCATGGGCTGAATGTATAAACTTTCCAAGGTGTCTTTAGCACGTAAGACATTTTGTTTCAGGTTCAGACATCAGCTGTGACAGATCCATGGCTTGAAGGTGTGGATAACGATGATCAATAACAGTGAACGAAATTCTTATGGGTCACAAAGTTCCACAAACATAATCTCATATGTGGCTCAGTGAGGTGAACATTATTATTTTCATGTGGAGGGAAGAGAAAATGTGGTTTCTGAGACTGAGTTAGCCAAAATTTAACTGCTCTGTTTTATAGAAGCATAAAATGAGATTTGGAATGGGGAAGGGTCTCATACGAGGTCATGCTGTGGGAATGAGTGGTGGAGCTGGGACTGGAAGGTGGATTCTTTCCACTAAACCACCTGATTGGCCCCACACTACATATCTATAATTCTTCAAGAAGTTGCTGGAAATGAGACAAGTGTGCACAGAGAGCTCATTTGGAAGCAAGTCCATTAATTTCACTGCTCATTCTTTGCCAGAATACATTTTGGTGGGCAACTGAGTTCACTTTTAAGAGCCATTTATCAAGCATCCCCACTACTTGACAACCTGCTCAGAAGAAAAAAATCCCTTTCCAAAGAAGGGAAGTCAGTGAGATGGACCATTATACCATAAGATGGGAGCTCAGAGTTTTCCTCCCAAGTCACCAAACCCAGACAAAGAAAGATCCTGTTATTCCAAGACATTAATTAATAGGCAAGAATCTTTGGTGAATCTGAGCCCAGAAGTATGTATGTATTTGTAAGAGCTCTAGATAGCTGCTCCTCTGAATCCAATGCCAGCCATCCTGAGCATTACAAGTGACAAGAGCTTGGTCACTTGGGCCTTGGCATCAAGTCACTTAGATAATTTTTCCTCCCACAGTCAGAACTATGGTATCCGGATGACAGAATAATCTACCCTCACTTTGGAAGTCAGGGCACACATTTACTATTTGTCTAGGAGGAAGCCCAGGGAAGCAGAATAGTGGTGCTAATACGATGCTTTCCAAGCCTTCAGCCTTCCAGTTGTACCATAGGACTTGCCAAAGGTTGAAATCATCCCTCACCAGAATCACCTGTATTTGTTTTCTACTGCTGAGCAACAAATGACCACAAACTGAAGACCTTAAAACAACACACATTTATCATTCCACAGTTTCCTTGAGTCCAGAGACTGGGCATGGCTTAACTGGACTCTCTGCTTCAGGATCTCATCAGGCTGCAATCAAGATGTCAGCAAGGCTGTGCTTTCATCTGGAGATCTGACCAGGAAGAATCCAAACTCACTTAAGATTGTTGACAGAATTAAGTTGTGTGTTGTTGTAGGACTGAGGCCTTCAGCTCCTAGAGACCATCCACCGTTCCTTGACATGAGGGTGTCTCCACAGGCAATTCATCACGTGGCTGTTTGCTTCTTTAAGGCCAGCCAGAGAATGAGACAGTCTTACATTCATAATGTAACCACAGGAGTGACATCCCTTCATCTTCGCCATGTTCTACTTGTTAGAGGTGAGTCGAAGGCCCTGGCCATATTCAAGGGGAGAGGATTACACAAAGGCATGAACCCCAAGAGGTGATCATTTGTACACCACAACACCAATAAGGGCAAAGTCCCGCAATCAGAACATGCTTTATGGTCCATAGAGAAGCACTGGCCATTGGATCTTATTGCACATAGTGGATGTTTTGAAGCATCATCCAAGAGGATCAGGTGATATCCAAGTCATAATAATGAGTTCAGAGCTAATGTCCTCAACCCACTGCATTGACATTAGCAGAATCACCTACTTGTGAAGCTAAAGGAACATTCCCAGTTTATATTGGCCAGATCTGTATTATTTTTAAAAATTTATTCCACTCTACACATAGTGTATCTTTCAATGTCTGGATTTCTTTAATTTTAGTGCATATTAGATACTATCTCTTTGAAAATTACCATCTCTTTTCTTTAATACCTCATTCTGGCACTGGTGTTGGAATTCAAGAATCCAGTTTCCACACTCAGCTCTTTTTCCATACTTTTTATCTCTCAATCCCATTGCACTGGGTCCTGGGAGAATTCTTTACTTTGATAGTCAAAGTTTACAATTTGCACATCATTCTTCTCTTCAACACAGCTATAGATTTTGATATGTTTTTTATTCCTAAGACCTCTAGTTGATTTTTATAACAATCTGGATGTGTCTCATGGCCATGATACTCTTTTGCCTCTCTCTGAAGATATTAAATATATTTATGTAAGTGTTCTGTCTTGCTTGCTCTATCAACTCTATTTTCTTGGGTGTTAAGTTTTTTCATTTGTTGATTTTGCTATATTTTTCATGGTTTGGGATTTTATCAAAATTTTAGCGATTGTGTGTCCATGAAAATAGGGGAGAATTGTGGAGATGTCAACCATCCTACCCGCTGTCTTAGGTGTGACGCCTTAATAATGACCCTGTTAATTACCCCCAGGCCACATCCTGCCCCCAAATTCCACCCATTCTCAGTAAGAAGCACCAGTATTTCTAAGGCAGAATTCCCAGCTAGGTCCTAGGCCGTGGGTTCCTTCTAAGTTTCCCAGCTACTTTCTATCTTTCAGCCCAGTTTTTGGTCCAGTCCAGTGCCTCTTTTCATTTTCGAGTGTGAGTATGTGATTGTATAGCCTGATTCAAGAAACAAAGAAAGTGCTTGCTGAACCTACCATCATGAAAACAAGGTCTTTGGTGCTTAACCCAACACCAGGAAAACCAGGTTGTTGGTCATGAAAACCATATCTTTGATGCTCTCAAGTGACCCAAGAGCATTATAAAAATTCTGGCTTGGAGTGAGAAGACCAAGGTTCTAATCTAGAAGGACAATTTATGCACTGTGTGATCTTGGGCAAGTGTCTTCCCCTCTCTGAATCTTAACTTAAAAATTAGAAGTTTGAAATAAGAATTGCCTCTATCTTCGTCTAGCTTGGGTTTTCTAAAATTCTGCTTACCACATCCACAACATAATCTCATGGAATTGTTTTTGTACCAGCTGAAAACATAGGCCTCAGCAAATGATATCATGACAGATAGACTTTCACTTCACAAGAACTGGCTTCTCAATCTTTGCCAGGTCTCCTCTGCAAAATGGATGCTGCCCTAGGAAAAATAAAATCCTAAAAATAATTTTTATTTATTCCTCCCATTCTTTGTTTTCTATGTTTGATTCCACAGACCATTATCCAACATTTTTTACTCACTTGAAAAGCTATGTATACATATATTTATATTTTGAGATGGAGTTTCACTCTTTGTTGCCCAGGCTGGAGTGCAGTGGTGCGATTTCGGCTCACTGCAACCTCTACCTCCTGGGTTCAAGTGATTCTCCTGTCTCAGCCTCCTGAGTAGCAGGGATTACAGGCGCCTGTCACCAAGCCTGGCTAACTTTTTGTATTTTCAGTAGAGATGGGGGTTTTGCCATGTTGGCCAGGCTGGTCTCGAACTCCTGACCTCATGTGATTCACCTGCCTCGGCCTCCCATGCCTGCTAGGATTATAGGTGTGAGCCACCATGCCCAGCCGAAAAGCTATATTTATATATATAGCTTCATTATATGTTTAAGCCAGTAGAGGCAGGGATAGTATTGTATTTTGTATTTATCTTTGTAACCTTAGCCCCTTAGCACAGGACCTGGCATACAGGAGGCACAAGAAATGTTAATGGCATAGAAGGAGGGATGGATTAAAATTCTGAATCACCTGGCTTTTAAAGTTTTCCAAGAAAATATCTTCCAGGAAAAATAGTACCTTGCTCTTCCTAGTTACAAGCTGAGGAGATGTTGCTAAAGATAGCTGGTTGAGTTTTTCCACCAGCTGTTTATTGAGAAGCTTGGGAACTGACTTGTGCCATAATCATTCAGTGCTGCAGGTGTAAAAGGCAAAAAAATATGGCAGCCGCCAAATTTTGCTGGAGAATTGTTGGA